TCTGGAGAGGTAAGGGGTCTTTTTATGGTCTTATTAGGAGCCCCGGGTCCCTCAGGAGCTCCCTATATATATATACATACACCTGTATTGGGTGTCTGGGTGTATGGTTGGGAGATGGAGGTTTCTCTGTCCCACTCACCTGTAATAGGGTGGTGTAATGTACACACTTTGTGTCCTGAGAGATAAAGAGAACCAGTAATCGAAAACCATATCAGTCCTTTACAGATACTCACAGAGCCCCACTGCCCTCCATCACATCATTCAGGGTCTGTCAACAGTGATGACCATTAGGTGACACGGGGGCGGGTGGCTAACACCTGCAAGACTGAGGAAGAAGATGGATCCGCCCGGGATTTCATACTGACATTATGGTCGGTCAGTTGTCAGTGCACTCGGGCAATCAGTGCAGGCACTGGGCTGTGCTGTCCACAGGCCACTCCATAACAGGACAGCAGCATATGATCACTTATGCTAGTTGGAGTTCTAGCTGACAATGTTGGAGAGTCCAGAGGAATGGAGGGACATGATGGTGTCATTTTTAGGCTGGTGTCCTTAAAGAACATATATAATTCTGACACCCCAACTGCAGTACTCTTCTCAAGAGCCCTCAGCCTTGATGCAAGCAATGGGCTGGTTCTTTGGAGGAGTTATGCAAATATTAAAATGTCTTGATGGGGGGATGTCAATCTGGAGGAGTGGGTGTTCCTAGGCTTTCTCATGCAGGTAAAGTTATGGTAAAGTTATCTAAAATATGGGTGTCAGTTTTGGGAAAGGGGTGCAATTTCAGTGCTTGCCATAGGCATTTTTTTCTGTAGATAATATGCCTCTGGCTCTGTGACATGATAAAACCTGACCCCGACCACTTCTTAATTGTGCACCTGTTTAGAGTGAAAATCTGTTGCAGAACTTTGCAAACTGTCGCACTTGGCTGCCCACGAAAACAGACGCATGGGGCTGTGAGGCCTCATTCACATTGGCACTCCTGTGTTTAGCTTTTCTCAATGAAGAAGAAGCTATCTGATAAGTATGAAAAACTTCCCAGATCACACTTTCCTGCGTTTAGATGTTCCTGCTTAAAGACGCATATAGATGTGTTTACATGTATTTAACTGTGCTCGGATTGTGGGCGCACAGAATTCTATTTTCTATAAATGCAGTTAAACTGAATGCACATAAAATCAAGTAAATACAAAGCTTATATAACACCATTGAAAGATAATTACACGCATTTGTATGCATTTAGAAATGTGCTCTAAAAACATACAAATGCAAATTTGGCACTGTCAGTATGAACGAGGCCTTAACCTGTGGCAGAGACTTTTCTGAAGGAGAGGCAGCCTAATTTGTGATTAATTGTGTTGCTAGTTTGCTTGATAAATTTCCCCCACTGTGATTTTCTCCTGGCCTTTTATAGAGGATAGGGGAGGAAGATGTAACATTGTAAAAGCTGCCAAGTACGGCCCGTTCACACACGGGGCTTATGTTGCATTCAGGCATTTCTGCAGCAAGAACCTACCGATTCTTGCAGCAGGAATCCCAGATGTGCCTGTTCAGATGCAGCTGCTGTGCTAGTTCAAGTTAATGACAGGGTGATATGGACGCATCTGTCAACAGCAGTCCACATGTAATCGTACATGTGAAGAATGACCCTCTACCAACTAACCTTTTTTTTCATTCAAGTTACTCTAAGTGAACATTTATTTTTTAAATCGGAGGAGTACACGTGCACTGGAAAACGTTTCCATTCTATGTTTCAAAAGGGGTTAGTAGGCTTCCTGGTGTGCAGACTTGGATCTTGAAACAAATGCTTGTGTGTGTTGTAAAGGGGAAATGCATTGTTACTATTGATGAGCCTGGGCTTGGTGTTATCCTAGTTTACCTGAATCTGTGACTGCCACTCTCCCCTCCTGTCCCAATCAGTTGTGGCAGGAGCATTCCCTGCCCCACAACTAGAAGTCACAAAGGGTCAGGGCATGGCACTGCTGCCACTGATTGGGCAGGCATGTGGTGGTCACAGTTTTAAGCAGGTTTGGGCGAACTCAGGTGATCTGCTTAGGTTCATCTCTAGTTTTTACAATACATAATACTGTTTAACTTATTTTTTTCCTTTTTTTAACTTTACTAAAATGGCACAAAATTAAATGTTATGCTGTCTGGCCCACCACCTGGATTTCGGGCAGTGTTATGATCTGGGGTTAAAATATGTATAAGAATTCAGTGCCAACACAATCTAAAAAGCTGCAACACTGTTAATCCACAGTATTCCAAATACAGTGGTACCTCGGTTCACGAATTTAATTAATTCTACGATTCTGGTCGCAAATCGAATTGGTCGTGAACCGAATCAAACTGTGACCATACCGCGATCTCGACAAGTGGAAGCCACGACCATGTGTCAGTGCAGGGAAGATGGCTGCGGTTGTGTTCGTCAACCGATGCGGAGTTCGCGAACGGAAGCAAAATGTTGCCAAACTCCCTGTTCGCGAACAGGAGTGTTCGAGAACCGAGGTACCACTGTAAATCTAAAAAGTAATGAGTGTCACGCTAAACTGTATAATAACTAAATCTAATTTATAGTGATGGGTACCACCAAGTACGTTGCAAGTATGATAGATATATCAAGTATAAATATATATCTACTATAGCAAAAAAACAATAAACAAACTAATCAATATAATTTCTTTTAACTCAATCCCGTTATAAATGTAATCACCAAATGATCTGTTTCATAAGTGTGAGAATAAACCGACTTCCTCCACATAACAAGCAAAAGTATTATCACATCAAATAAATTGGTGTAAATCAATCAGTCCCGTTGTAAAAACATAACGAAATATATATAAAATGAAATGGTCTAATCTTCAGTTTGTGTCTTCATTCTGAAACGAAACACCACATGATCTAAATCACTCTGCATGCTGTGATTATTCTCTTTTTCCACACCTGTGAAATTTCCAGCTCTATATCAGATGATCTTTCACCTCCCTAGAAGACCTATGCAGAGGTCACAATGAGCCGTTCCCTTTTAGTTCTCGGGTAGGGCACCCTCTCTGGCCACACTTTTCTTTGCAAGCAATTAATCTTCCAATACTCAGCAAATCATCCAGTGTGCATAAAAAAGGAATACATATTCTAAGTGCACACCGTTATATTTAAAAACACGAATTTATTAAAATCTTACTCACATACAACTCTTGTCAATCAACAACATTAAAAAAATCACCAGACGAACTTCACATCCCAAGGGTGCGTCTGATCCTCTCTCTTGCGTCACCATGGCTCTCAACCAACCAATGTTGCGTCACTCTGGACTTCATCAGGGGTTAAAAGCCGGTGACACAACACACTTAAAAAGAATCCGCGTTGCCATGTGCTGTTAACGCATTCAGAGTCAATGTACTTTCGTCCGCTCCCACAATCACATGACACTCTAGCAAAAGGAATCCACGCTCCATAGCAACCCCAAATAGCAACCCCAAATGCTATCAGCTACGATCGAGCCTAGGTCACATGAACAGAATAAGCCAATATTCGCTCCTCCCTGTTATAATCATATTATCAGCTCAGACTGACAAGCACGATGAATAATTAAGCGACTTAATATACAGCCCTCTGAGGATGTGAAGCTGGTTCAATAAAAATAAAAACAATTGTTTAAAAATACAAATTAGTACACATATATGACTATTATGATCTGGGGTTGCTTCAGTTGGTCAGGTCTAGGTTCAGCAATAATATGTGCACAAAAATGAAGTCAGCTGCCTCCCTGAAATTGTTTTTTTCTTCCCTGATGGCACAGACATATTCCAAGATGACAATGCCAGGATTCATCGGGCTAAAATTGTGAAAGAGTGATTCAGGGAGCATGAGACATCATTATCACACATGGATTGGCCAACACAGAGTCCAGAACTTAAACCCATTGAGAATCTTTGGGATGTGCTGGAGAAGACTTTACACAGTGGCCTGACTCTCCCATCATCACTACAAGATCCTGAAGGCAAACTAATGTAACACTGAACAGAAATAAATGTTGTGATATTGCATAAGCGAATGCTTGCCGTAATCAAACCTAAAGGAGGTCCAATAAAATATTAGAGTATGTCTTTTTTTTGGCCAGCCAATGTATATACTGTACCTCTATGCACCACAGTACGTTGGGTTGCACTGTAGTTAGGTGCAGTGCACTGCATAAAATGCAGACAGTTTATGTAGCACAATGCAACTGTATGGTGTGAACAAGGCACATAGAAAACAATTGTTGTGCCCTTGTGTTGAGCCAGCATTGGTCAGTGCAACGCAACACAACTGGTGTGAATGACCCTCTAGTATACTGATCCTTCTTTTCATTCAAGTTACTCCAAGCAAACATTTTTTTTTTATTCACACTGCAGGAGTACATGTGCTTTGAAAAACTTTTCCTACATGTGCTCTGAAAAACTTTTCCATTCTATGTTTCAGGAGGGGGTTACTAGGCTTCCTGGCTTGCAAATTCAGGTCAGATCTTGAAATGATACAAAAACATCCCGGGTCTTGTTTAGGAAATGAATGATTAGATAAATGTGCTCGCACTGGTTTGGCTCAGCCAGCAGACTTTGATAAATCGACCTTTCAGACTCCACTCCTTAATATGTGACCCAGATGCTGAGCCCCAGCCAGCTAGGACAGTCAACTGACAGGGCTCCAGCGCACAGTTGAGGTGCAGTAAGCCCCTTTTTACACGTCACGTCATATATGTTCAGTGACGGCTCTCCCGGTGGGAGGTCTGTTTCTAAGGCAGTGCTGAGTAATCTCATTATTTACACGAATTCTGTATTTGTGCAGGAAAAGGCTCCGCTTCCTGAACTGCTGTTCTCGCTTAATTCCCACTCAGCTGCTTGTGCTGTGTTAATAAACTCGGAGAGAGAGAGGATGGAGAGTGGGATTCTGTGCATGCTCACAAGCGCGCTGTGCCTGTTCACTTGGGGTAAGCTTGTTGTTCCGCTATTGCTTCTCTTTCATTTGTAAGCAGATATGCCTAAACATCTGTTTAGTGTAACTTTTCTTTTTTTTTTTATTGTTGCGTTCCTTGATCTGATTTCCTTGAAACTTGAGATCTAGGCTAAGGCATCTCCAGAAACTTTTAGAAAGCATCTTTGTTCCTGTGCAGCTTTGGAGGGCTTTTCCCCTTTCCCTCCTAATTCTTTTTGATTGCAATTCAGCATATGTTTCTTGGAGTTTTCTTTGCTTACCCTTTGTTGCTGGAAGGTAAGCAGTACACGAGGGTGTGAAAGTGTTAAAGTGCCTGGAACTGTCACTTCTTTTTGTTCCAGCAGACTTTTCCCCTCAGGAAGACTGACACATTTTGTTGTTCTCTCAAGCTGGTAACCTCTCGAAAAGAATCACAGAGCTGATTTCAATTAGTGTTGCTTAAAAGCCTTGTTTTCTTGTTTGCATGAACTTGTATACAGGACAGGGATTACAGAATCAAATTCCCATGCTCCTCTACGTCCGAGCAGCCTTTGAGCATTGTGTAGTAATTCCCTTGCATCTGGCTAGCATTGATTGTGCTTGGTGTTTGTATTATAAGGATGCTGGTGTAGACAGACAACTGAGACTTACCCAAATGAAGTATGTTTAGCCTTCTGCTTGCCATACATATAATATGATTGACCTCCAATGGCTCATCTTTCATTTGAAAACTTTTGTTCAACACAGCAAAACAGATTGATCTGGCCAAATTTGATTAGATTTTCTTGTTCCTTTTCTAAGAAAACTATAATTTATAAATTAAACTGCCAGTGGATTTCTGAAAGATATGATTTCATATTGAAATATTGTTATATTAAATAAAATTCAATGTCTTCTATGGCCAGAGTTGGAGATCAGGTGAAGAGGTGTCAATCACTAAAGATAAATGTCACTTTGTTTTTTATTTGTTAAGTAGTGCTATGCTTTCCAAAAAGTGCTATGCAAGTAGTGCTTTGCTTTCCAAACAAATTGTGATGCTGGTGGTAGTAGATTTACTTATAATTAATATGTATTAGGACTAATTCTGTGCGAGTATTATCAATACTGTGAAGTACAACTTCACTTTATATCCATATACAAAAATTCATGTACCTGCATGTATATAGGGTGCATGCTTTGTTGTAAACTTGTGTACAGAGGTATAATTGTTTTTTCTACTTCAAAGATGATTAAAACATTGACTTGAGGAGCTCAAAAAATGATTTTTATGCAGAAAAACTGTACATTATGTAATCTCATTAAAATGTAATCCAAATTGGATTATATTCGAAGCCCAGCCTTTAATATGAAGTGGTTCCGTTACATTAATCAACTGCAGACCTCTGTACAGTTCATGATCACTATCCATTGATTATATTTTTAATGTGCAATGCATATGTGTATATGTGTATATATATATATACACACACACACACACATATAGTGTATTTCTAAAACTGTAGAAAAGGTCTGGGCCAATCTCTGAAGCCAGGTAGCCAATGCTCCTTAAAGATTACAGCTGGTGCCCACTTTTTGAGGTTTTCTCTTCTTGTTTCCAGTGGAGCTTGCTCCTGGATTGGACAGACTGGCTCCTGAATTCCATATTGTCCACCCTTGCATTAGAACTGGTGAACAATGGCAAAAGGTCTACATATATGATGTAAACTAATCGCAGTTGAGGTGTATATTGAAGGAGAAATCCAGGGATGCTCCAACCTCTATCTCTTGGCCAGAAATGTATAACGTGCCTTCACAAACTCCATAAACTTGTAAGCTTAGTTTATGTGAATAGAGAGGGGAGGGATGGAAAATAAGAGAGTGGACACTAGCAGCACTCTTATGAAGAAAAAACGCCGGGGCAGGTTTTTTGGAGGCATCTATAGACACTAATATTTTGGTTTATCTGTTTGATAAGTGCAAAAAAATACCTGTTGATCTTGTCAGAAATTCTGAGCTGTCCTGTGTTCCTCTCCACATTTCCAGTGCTATCTCAAAGAGTCTATTTAGCCCTCCCCATGTTATCATGGAATACAGAATGATCGGCCTTTATGTTGCAGCACAGATCTAAGTGCTAGTTCACACCAAGCGCAGAGCAGGTACGGAGCGTTCAGTTCCAGAGCAATGGTATTTTGGGCTCTAGTTCACACCAGAGCGTTCAGTTCCAGAGCATGTGGAAAAACTGCAGCATGCCCTATTTTTTCTGCTCTGGAACACACCAAAACACATGCAAACGCCCTGGAATGAACTTCCCATTTTAAGCTAAAAATAAATTGTTTTTTTTTTTTACAAAAACAGCCTGAAACGCTGCAAAAAACACTGCACTGCATGTGCAGAAACTCATGCAGATCTGGTCTGCATTTGGTGTGAACCAGCCCTCAAGCTTATAGGGTGGCAAAGGAGTATGCAGAAAAATCAAATCATGACCAGTACTGCAGGTTCCAGGGAGTAGATTGAGGGGGAGGTTGCACTGGTCCATCTTACTGAATTATTTGGTGGGCTGTCAAACAAAAAGTCACCCTGTAGAGGCCCTGTAGAGGATACCTGTGAAACATTGGCAAAGAGAAATGGAGACATGACCCATTGTAAAAGCTTTGCAGGAAGTGGAGGAGGAAATGTGTATAAGTAGATTCAAACTGCTTCTGAGTTGCTCTGAGCTGCTTCAGAGTGCTTCTGAGCTGCTTTTGCATTCACGTCGACTTGCATGAAGAAGGTAAAAAGCTCAGAAGCAGAACATGCTTGTCTACACAAGCAATTAACTTAAAGGAGAACTATTAGGTGAGTGAAATTCACTCAGCCTCATAGTTCTAGCCGACCTGTGACAATGAAACTGTCACAGGCCGGCTCAATAGATCGGGAAGTGAGCAAACACATGCCGTTGCTCGCTCACTTCTCGATCCTGTCCCTGCAGAGAGACGTGACTGTCACTCACGGCTCCCTGCAGGGATTCCCCCTTCCCCCTGTCCGATCCTCCAGCGCTAACTGGCGGAACGGACAGGGTGAGAGGCGGGTACAGCTGGCTCTGCCTCTAGATAGGCACTGTCACTCCCGCAGCTGGGTGGATCTCGACTGTAATGTCGGGATCCGTCCCGGCAGCGGCTTCTCAGTATACTGTAGCTCGCGGTATACTGAGCTTTGGGTGATGGGAGCACGCTAGTTTGTGTCCTCCCGTGACCCTTAGGAGAACTATGGGGAAAAGCCGGACCCCATAGTTCTTCTTTAATCTTACTAAGCCACTGCAGCAACAATCTCGAGTCCAACTCACATGGACAATGGGATTGCTTCTTCAGGAGCCTGCGCTAAAACTTTCTCTCTTTATGCTTCCACTATCACCAATCACATTCAGTGGTTCATGGCAGGTTTGTATCTAATTGGTCACAAAGAGCAACCCCTTTGTCTGTTTTTTATAGCAGGCTTTTTGTATGTAAAAGGCAGCAGGGTGAGGCAAAAAAAGAAAATGAATAATTCCAGAATCCATCTCCTGCATCACAAAAGTATATGTGTGTAGAGGAGGGGGGTTTCCAGATCAGCAGATCACAGACAAAAGGCATTGGAATAGACTGATGTACTATAGCAATGGCTAGAAAAAAAAAACAAGCATGTCATCTGTGCTCCCTTTATGCCCCCTTTATGCAAAGATTAATTTTTAGTTGTGATTTGAGTGAATCTTAAAATGTCTGACCCTAAAGCAGAAAGTTGCATAGAAAGCAGCCAGGAGCTTTGAAATAGCCAATAGCAGGCTGGCTATTGAAACCCCACCCACTAAGCAGAGGAGCGGACCTGAGAGAGAAAGTTGTCGAAGGAGCTGGGTGAAACATTGTGGCTGTACAGTTACTGCAGCCGATCAGCTTTAGTCGCTGTTCAGGTATTCTGACACTCACATGTGTGGCTGTCAATAGCCAGCATGAGAGAAACAGCGTGGATGGAGGAATCGAGTGTATGACCCGCTTTACTCAAGCTCTTTATGTTTATGAATAAATGGACACATGAGGGTCCTGTACTATGCATCTTAATTGTATGCTGCTAATGAATATATCTAACTCTAACTTTTTTCAAGTTTTGTTTACAAAAAATTTATAAAAATAAAGCAACAACAAAACACGTTATATTCAGCTTCTGAGTCTAAATCCCATTCACACAAAATCCTTAAAGTAGATGTAAACTAAATCACAACATGTTATAGGGTTAGGTTTTACCTTTATAGAAGAATCACCTATACTGTCCCTGTGTACTGAACTAAGCTGATTTCAAAAATATGCATTCATGTGGTTGTGCCCATTCTCACAAGGAATCCAGCATTCTCCAAAAATCTCTTCTTTTAAGGATGGACCAAGCAGAGGTGTATCTACAAAAATTGTGCCCCTGGCTTCCTGCCCAGCTCCTGGCAACCAATGAAGTCCAGAGCGGCCCAGGTTGCTGACAGTTGGGCCGGGAGATATATAAGAACCATACACATCTCCCCGCTTGGGACACTCTAGTCAGCGTCCTGCCCAGCTCCTGGTAGCCAGTGACATCACTGGTTGACAGGAGCTGGGCAGGACGCCGACCAGAGCATCCCTGATTGCTAAGAGCCAGCTGGGGAGATGTGTATAGTCAGCTGTCTCCATGTGTCAGCAAACATTTGCTGACCCACAGAGCGGAACCTCCCAGTGCATGTTTCACATGTGCCATACCCTGAATACACCACTGGAACCAAGACTCCCCTTTCTCCAGTCATAGCTGCTGAGCTGATTTGCAGTGACTGCAGACAGAGCACACTGCGCATGTGCAGAGAATCGAGAGCAGGATGGAGCTTGCTCCACTACCGCTTGAGGGTGCTTGCCCCAACAGATGGTCCATCCTGAAAAGAAGACAGGATGGACCTTTGGAGATTACAAGCATTTTTGGGGAATGTTTGACTCCTTGAGAGAATGGACACAAGGTATATAAAGAGCATGAATGTGTATTTTATCAAATCTGCTTGGTTCTGGGTTATGGCAT